TGAAACTAGTCTCATATACAAAGGGATATCTGCTAAGAGGTTTCTCAACCACTCAGTCTCAGTGCTAGCCTTTTCTAAGGCAATAGGCTCGAACTCCATAGTAGACCAGCTGTACACGTCTGCTTGAAAGATTTACAAGACATTGCACCCCCACTAAGGGTGAATACATAACCACTTGTGGATCTCGTCTCATCTGAATTAGAAATCCAGTTAGCATCGCTATACCCTTCAAATACACCAGGAAATCCACTATATGATAAAAACCATAATTAGCAATCCCTTTCAAATATTTTAACAATCTAGATAACATTTCAATGTTCTTTATTGGGATTATGTGTGTATCTACTTAACCTATCAACAACATACGCAATATCAGGACGTGTACAATTCATAAGATACATTAAACTTTCAATTATTTGTGCATAATCATTTTAACACATAGGATCACCTTTATTTTTCTTTAGTTTAATACAAGCATCAAAAGGTGTAGAAATAGGCTTATGATCAAAATGATTAAATTTCCTAAGTATCTTATATACATAGTGTTCTTGAGACAACAACAAACTATTTGGAGTTCTCAAAATTTTAATTCTTAAAATTACATCTGCCTCCCCCATATCTTTCATATTAAACTTAGACATTAAGAACTTTTTAGTATTAGTAACAACCTCTAGACTTATACCCATTATAAGCATATCATCAACATGTAACCAAATAATAACACCAGAATTATCACAAAACTTACAATAGACACATCTGTCAGCGTCATTAATTTTAAAACCATTTGACACTAACACATTATCAAATTTCTCATGTCATTGTTTCGGTGCTTGTTTTAAACCATATAATAATTTAATCAATTTACATACCATATACTTTTTACTTTGTACAATAGATCCATCCGGTTGTTCCATGTATATTTCCTCCTCCAAGTCTTCATTTAAGAACGTCGTTGTCACATCCATTTGATGAATTACTAATTTATATATAGAAGTTATAGCAATCAAAACTCTAACAGATGTTATTCTTGTAACCGGAGAATAAGTATCAAAATAACCAACATCTTTCTTTTGTTTATAACCTTTGGCTACTAGTTGGGCTTTGTACTTATCAATTGTGGTATCAATTTTTAATTTTCTTTTAAAAATTCATTTGCACCCAATAGGTTTTGCACCAGGAGGTAGCTTTACTAATTCCCAAGTATGATTAGACATAATAGAATCTAACTCGTCTTTAATTGTTTCTTTTCAAAAAGGTGCATCTTGTAACCTAATGGTTTCCTCATATGTTTGTGGGTTACTATCAATTAGAAATATAAAAAATTCATCTCCTAAGTTAATCTCCTTCCTTACTCTTTTACTCCTCCTTGGTTCAAGTACTTCTTCCCTAGATGTATCATATTTGGGTTCATTACTAATACCAATTAATTTACTCTCATTTGATATCTTATTTTTCATGAAAAAAATATTTTCAAAAAATATAGCATTTTTTGCCTCAATGATTGTATTAGGTTCTAAAATGTTATGCTCGCTTCTTATCACTAGAAATCTATATGAGGTATATTAATCGAATAGCTTATAAAAACACAATCTGAAGTTTTAGAACCTAATTTCCTCTTCTTAGGTTCCGGTAACATAATTTTTGCTAAACACCCTCACACTTTTAAGTATTTTAAGGATGGTGGATGCCCTACCCAAAGTTCATAAGGAGTTTTTCCTATTTTCTTATGTTGAATTCTATTTTGAATATGACATGCCGATAGAATAGCTTCTCCCCATAAATTATTTGGCAGTCCCAAACTTATTAACATAGAATTCATCATTTCCTTTAAAGTCCTATTTTTCCTTTCGGCTACACCATTAGATTCGGGTGAGTATGGAGGAGTAACTTCATGTATAATACCATGTTGCTCACAATAGTCATTAAAAGGATTAGATTCATATTCTCTTTGTTGGTTTTTTTTTATGGAGTCTAGTTTGTATATGTGATTCGGATGATGACCCGACCCGAAATAATGTTGTGTGGTTTTTAATGGAAAATTTTCTGAGGCTTAGTCCATGGAGCGAAGGCTTGGGCCGATAGGCCCAAGCCGTAGCGCTTATGGACAAGCCTCGTGGGGGTTCGGGGGCAATGCCCCTCGAGGAAAATTTTTTTGGGCCCGTTATACAGCCCAGTGCGTAGGACATATAAACCCTGTTGTTTTGGTGATTAGGGTTAATCGTGGATGTACAGCCGCTCTCTGTATTCAACTCTCTCAATAGTGAAATCTCTGCAGCTTCGTGGACGTAGGCAAATTGCCGAACCACGTAAAATCTGTGTCTTGTTCTTTCTTGTTTCTTATTGCTTTATATTCTTGATTTGTTCTTCGATTGTGTGTGTTTGTTAGTGAATTTAAATCGTGAGAAATCCCAACACTCTTCTCCTATCAGTCTTCAACCTTTTTATTTTCTTATTCAATTGATTTTCGACTTCTAGTTTAGACTTGATAAACATTTCACTTGCTTCATCCTTATTTCTTAACAAGTATAATCTAGTATTCCTCGAATAATCATCAATAAAAGTAACATAATACCTTTTTTCACCTCTTGTCATGGTATTCTTAAGATCACCTAAATCACTATGTATCAGGCTTAATAATTCGATTTATCTTTCAACCGTTCTAGAAGACTTCTTAGTGATTTTAGATTCAACACAAACTTCACATTTATCAACATTCGAATTCAAAAAATTTGAGATGAGACCTAATTCTTTCATTTTCTTGACATAAGAAAAATTTACATGACCTTATCTACCATGTCACATATCGAGAGAGTCAAGCACATAAGCAAAAGAACTAGACTTATTCTCATTCATAACTTCAGCAACATTTAGTATATAAAGACCCTTATTACAGTAACATTTCCCAACAAATGTCCCAGTCTTGGTCATAATGATCTTATCACTCTCAAATGTTACTTTTACTTCCACTTTATTCAAGACAGATACTGACACCAAATTTTAACGAATATTAGGCACGTGGAACACTTCAGACAACGAGAGGATCTTTCCAGAAGTCAACTTTAGTAACACCTTTCCCTTACTCATAACAGACGAGGGTCTAGAGTCATTCATAAATACTTGTTCATCTTCATCTCCCACAGGTGTGTAGGAGATAAAAACACTTCTATTACCACAGATATGCTTGCTAGCCCCAGAGTCTATCAACCAATCTTTTGTAGTAGCAGCCACGTTAACCTTGGATACGACCGCAACAATAATATCATCCGCCTCAACCAAATTGACATTCGGCTTGATAGGTTTGTCATTCCGCTTTCGATGTCGACATTCTTGAGCATAATGTCCTGCTTTTTCACAAACAAAATAATTACCTTTCTTCTTAAAACTAGAACCTTGAGTCTTATGGAGATTTTTTCCATTGTAATTCTTTTTCTTATACTTATATTGAGACTTATTCGTAGTCTCCACAACATTGACCTTAGAGACATTTTCCTTGGTCTTTTCAAGTTTATCCTTCAAATGATTTTTCTCCTCAATTCTAATATGGATAATCACATCTTCCAAAAACATATCCTTCATTTTATGTTTAAGATTGTTCTTGTAAACTTTCAAAGAATCGGGTAATTTTTCAATCCAAGCACAACTATCTTATAGTTTAAGAAATTTTCTATTACATATTTTTTAATCTCCGCATCTTCGACAATATACTTTTTCACCAAACTATCCCAAATCTCCATGACATGCTTATAATGATAATAAACATCAAACAATTCATTTGATAAAACATTCAAGATAATATTCCGACAAACCTTATCAGCCTTTTTCCTTTTTTTTTCTCTAACATAATTTTATGTATCTTCTTCGGGCTTTAAATTAGTCAAAACAAATGCAACACTTGATATGTCAAGTAACATCATAATTCTTTGTTGTCAATGCTTAAAATTAAACCCATTGAAACGCTCGATTTTTGTCACATCAAGAGCAATCTTGTTTATAATTGTAGCATCCATATTAAAGTTTATTCTTAAGATTGATGTGAAAAAATCAATTTAAGAATGCTAAAAATCAGATAATAAACAAGACAAAAAAACTTATCGATATAGGTGTGTAATTACTATTTTTAAGAATAAATTTTTGTCCCTCTGAATATGAAATCCAGTGCAATCGGTTACGACGTCCTATCTTCTAGGATTCAACTATCACTTTTTTACAAGCGTACACTCGCAAATATAGAGTTGTCTCGAACAATTCTTCATAGTTCCAAATCAATACCAAAATCTCTAAGTCGTAGTATATTAGAATCAAATTTTGGTGTTTCTACTTTGCGTTATGTTTTTTTTTTCTTCCCGTATACTAGCCTTTCTTTTATGATCTGAACAGTAGGTTTCTTTCTTTTCTTTTTTCTATTCGTACACAAGCAATCATATGCTTTAAATAGCAATTAAAGTGTTACATTTGCATAGCAAAAGGATATAATGGTTAACATTCAATGGTCCAACGGTCAATTACAAATTTAACGGTTATTAACCAACAGTCAAAAACTTTAAAAATATAATTCCAGTGTAATATAATAAATATATAAGTAATAAGACAAATTGTCATATCGTATACCGTTCAAGTCATACAATAAGTCTAAAAATAATTTTTAAATAATTTTTTTATTTAATTTATATTTCTATACACATATATACGTTTGAAATAATTAAATATATATTATATTTTAAAATATATATATAAATATACAACACCCTTAACCCATGATTATACTTGAAACCCTCCATTCTTGAATCTCCCTTGGGTGGTTGGGTTAGGCGAAGAATCGCCCACTCTCTCTCTCTCTCTGTTACAATAGTGGATAGAGGTGGTATTTTTTTCCCTAATAAGTAAAGATGGAAGTGGTTGTTTCTGGTTTGGGTGGTGGTTTTTAGGGGAGGGTGGATTTTGGCGAGTGATTCAAAAGAGAGGAACGGTGTATTTTGAGTGGCTAACTCGACGGTGGGATGATGGGTTTTCAGTAGTAATAGTGGTGGTGGGTGCTGGGGAGTTTTGGAATGGCGCAGACATTGGTGGTGGGTTTTCGGTGATATTGGGCGGTAAATTTTCGATGGTGGAGGTGGGTTTTGGAATAGTGGAGTTTCGGCGGTGTGGGTGGTGGGTTTTCGGTGGTGTGGCTGGGGAGTTTTGGAATGGTGAAGACATTGGTGGTGGGTTTTCGGTGATATTGGGTGGTGAATTTTCGATGGTGGAGGTGCGTTTTGGAACAGTGGAGTTTTCAGCGGTGTGGGTGGTGGTTTTTCTGCAATGGTGAGGGAATATGTACAATAGCAAGGTAGGCAAGTAGAGAATTACAAACTTATTTAATATGATTACATAATTAATTTGATATAATTAAATATAATTTGAATTTTTTGGAACTGTGATTAGTGTAGTCATTAATTACAAGAGTTATTTATTTTATTTAGTCCTAACTCCTAAATATAGATTTATTAGTTGTAACTCGTACTTGAAGGCACGATGTAATGCAATGTGAATTATTTTTAGAGAAATGTTGATGGCTATTGAATAAGTTTATTTGTGATCGTCGGATGAATTTATTGAAGTCTGTATTATTTTATATTATAGATTGTTATTTTAATATTTAATCAATTGGTTAATGTAATAAAATGATTTAATTTGTTGCATCATTACTTATGAAAAATATAATTTGTGTATAAATGAAATAATTAAAAAAGAAAATGTGAAAAGAGAAGGGTATTTTTGATATTTCAATTTTTTTAAGATCAACCTTGCTGTTAGTCATCCTAACGCCTCCTAGGTATCTCCAACTTTGACTCATTTTCAGACTCAAATTTAAATTTGAGTAAAAAAATCTAAAAAACTTGTCTTAACCTTTACTCAAACTTATGCCAAATCAAAAGGGACTTTTTTTTTTACTCAAATTTTTACTCAAATTTTTAATGATAAGATTTTATCCTCTTTTAAAAATTCAATGGTCATCTTTACTCTCATTTAATTTTAGATTTGTCCTCATTTAAATTTAAGTTTCTCCTTCTTTAAATTTAAGTTTGTTCTTTGGAACCCTATAAAATCAAACTTTTTACTCAAATACTAACTTAAATTTGAATAAAAATTTGAGTCAAGTTGGAGATGCTGTTAAGAGGTCTTACTGGTACAAGTTTTGAAATGTTAATGGGTCTCGGTGTATTTTCTAAAATCAAGGGAATGTTCATATAATAAAATTAAATATTAAGGAGTGTAAGTGATATTTACCCAAATTTAAACTATATGCCACGAGATTCCCGAGGGAGGGAATTATTCTGAGAAATCTTGATATTGCAAGTTAGGAACTCAAACATCTGAAATTGCAAAAGATTTAACTACCAACATATGGCCCCTAAACAATTTTATTTCCGGCAATCAAGCCTCTGAATTATTTTTTGTGTAAATTTAGTCCATCAATTATGCAATCTGTCTCAACGTGGCTCTTCTATCCAAATTTGCCGTTAATTTTAACGAAAAGTCTCTCGTGTACATCACGTGAGTCAGAGATTAAGGATAATTAAAATCATACATGTGCACATCACTTAAGACTTTCTGTTAAAATTAACGACAAATTAGACAACAGGGTCACATTGAGACAAATTACATAATTGAGGGGACAAATTAATATAAAAAATTGTTTAAGAATTTAATTGACAAAGACGCAATAGTATATGAGTCATACTCATAATTAACTCAATTTGTAAAACATGTATCTAAAAGAGAATTCCAATTCCCGAGACTCAAGTTTTATAAAATTTTAGTCTCCCGAGACTCAAATTATATAAAATTTTAGTCTGTTTTATGTTGATGATATGATCAAATTCCGATCGGTGATGCCTGCCTTGTCCTTGAGGGTATCAGCCCATTTCCGAACAATTACTACATTATAACTCATTCATGTTACATGCAAGCAAAGCATTTCTCTAATACCAAATGGGACAGCTGAGCCTTCCACGCTTCTCTAACTACAATCTTGGAACAAAAGACAAAACAATTATTATGTTTTAACCCTTTTGGTGCCACAATTTCAACCATGCTACTCTGAGTACCCTCATATTTTTGTTAATTTTATATTTGTCTATACAACGTCTCTACTTGATAACCGATGAACAAATTAAAATTAAAATGAAAGTGATTGTATTCAGTACACTATGTACTGGCTTTTAGCGAGGTCTAGGAAAAATAAGTGGAAGAAGGGTGCAAAATTTTTTAAACCAATTTGCTATGGTCACTTTCTTAGCAAAACTTTCTTTGACTGTGTTTTTGAAAATGAAGAAATTCTTAGATATGCATAAGGTAAAGTAGATAATTGTCTATAAATAAGGTAATATATACAATTGGGTGTGTGCACTTGCTTGGCAAAGCTTTCTTTAAGTATGTTTTGAAAAGATGAAACCAACAATATATATAAGGTAAAGGATATATTTATCTCTATGTTTCGTTTGGTAAGTGCTGGAAAGTGAGATGAAGAATAAGGTGTAGAGGTATGGAAAGTTCCCCTTTGCATGTTTTTTTTTTTTTTTTTATGTGACGGTCAAGAGTGTTTAGGACAACTTATACGTACTTCAACTAATTTTATTCTTATTCTAATTAAAGGCAAGTCATTCATGTCGGAACTAAAATTTTATGAAGCATACATTCCTCATGAATAGACTTTAAAGAATTACTAAGATTTAAACTTAGGACTTCTAAATTTACATATTCAAAGAGAGTGACTGTTTGAATATTTTTTTAGACTCGTTTAAAAGAATTAGCTCGACATGCTCAGCTCAAGTTCGTTCGAACTCATTCGATTATCAACCCTACGACCAACTAGGGAGAAAATTATCCTCTTCCTATTCATTTTTCTTCCATACCGATATAGTTGATCGACCAGAACAGAAACCTCAATGGATATTTATTTTCCTAATTAAACTGTAACTAGCAAATTTCAAGTATACTAACACATGTCATGCAATAGTAATAGTATCGAGCTTTATTACAGTATCATCTATTTTTTTTAAATGATAATTAATTGATATATTGAATTTCTTGTATTACAATGACTATTTGACTCTTGCCGTTAATTTCTAATGTTTTTTAGCAAAACGAATTCAATAAAATCAACCCCTAGGTGGATTTGCACGGGAAGTGATGTGACTTCAACTCCGTGTACGAGGTTTATGTAATTGGCCAAAAAGAAAGGAATTGGAAAATGAAAAGGACAAAAGAAAAAAAAAAAAAAAAGAAGGAATAAGGGTATAAAATGCAAAACTACAAAGCATAGTTAATATTACCAAAAAGTATAAGGGCCCCAAGTGATATTATTTTGTATTCTTTATATTATTGCCTGTTTGGTTTGAACTTTGAATGAGGCAGGCTCACGCCAAAATAGAGAGAGAGGATTGAGAGAGAGAAAAAAAACTCGGCTCAAAAATCGTTTACTCCAGTTCTGTGACGGAACAATTCAATCTCTTCTTTACCTTCTTCTGTTACGTTACATATCTGTTGATTTCTGTTTGATTGCTATATTCATATGTCTTCTCTACCAGAAATTCAAGTTCGAGTTAAAGAGACGATGAAATCTATGAGTTAATCTAGGGTTTCTTGGTTCTGGGTCTCCTCAGATTTTAATTTTAGGTAAGCCGAACAATAATCTTTTTTCACTGTGAAATGATTATTTCGATGTTATATACACCCTCCCCCCCACTTCCCCAATATTCTTACATCCTCTGCAGGTACCTTTGAATGAATTCAAATTGGTAAGTCAAATTGTTTTTGCTTTTTGTGAGGTATATGATTGCGGGTTGGGTTTTACTTTGGATTTTTGTTGATAATCTGCTAGTTTGTGAGATACTGTATTTTTTTTTTGGTGATGTATGTTTGTGGGTTGTGTTTTCATTTGAATTTTTGTTTATAATTTGTTAGTTTGTGGGAGGAGATGATGTCGAAATTCGAGGCTAGGAAGAAAATTGGTGAGAAGTCAGGAAATGGGAAGTTGTTAAATGACATTGAAGCTATAAGTAAAGCACTATATGCAGATAAAACACGGCCAAGGAGTTCTATGTCTACAGTGAGCAGTCGATCCAAATCTGTAGGGAAAACCCATTTGCCTGAACCAAAATCAAAGCTAAATGATGCTAATAAAGATGCACTAGAAAAGGACAAGAAGTCCATTTGGAGTTGGAAGGCCTTAAAGGCAAATTTTACTCCTGTCCGAAACCGTAGGTTTGATTGTTGTTTCACTCTGCAAGTCCATTCAATTGAAGGTTTGCCTTTGAATTTCAATGAGCTTAGTCTTATTGTCCATTGGAAGAGGCGGGATGGAGAGTTGATGACTTGCCCGGCTAGGGTTTTTAAAGGTACAGCGGAGTTTGAAGAACAATTGACGCATACATGCTCAGTTTACGGTAGTAGAAACGGTCCCCACCATTCGGCAAAGTATGAAGCAAAACATTTCTTGTTATATTCGTCTGTTTCTGGTGCTCCTCAGCTGGATTTGGGAAAGCATCGGATTGATCTCACGAGGTTGCTTCCTTTGACGTTGGAGGAACTAGAGGAGGAGAAAAGCTCTGGGAAGTGGACAACTAGTTTCAGGTTGTCGGGTAAAGCTAAAGGTGCTAATATGAATGTCAGTTTTACATATTCTGTTGTTGGGAATAGTTCTATGATAACTGCTACCAGCAGGGATGTTCCTGAGGTCCTGAATAGTGCAAGTACAGTAAAACCCCGAGGGAACTGAGTCAAAGTGAGGATCGGAGCTCAATACAACGAGCCGAAAGTCTTCCTGCTAGGTCTTCTACCTCACTTCGTTCCCCAGAAGACATAAAGGATCTTCATGAGGTTCTGCCAATTTCAAGGTCAGAACTTGCTGAATCGGTACATATTCTTTATCAGAAATTTGATGAAAACAAGTTGAATGTTTCAGATGATTGTGAACCTAAGCTTGATGTTTTCAGTGAACCTCTTGAACCCCTCAAACCAAATTCATACTTGTTGTCCAATGCTGTTGAAGCAAATGTTGAAAAGGAGTATGAAGTTAGTGAGTTTTCCATCGTAGAGAAAGGTATGGAATTGTCCTTTGAGGAGCAGGTGAAATCAGAAGAAAAAGCTGTTGATGGTTCTGGAGTAGAGAATCTTGCTGGCAGCACTGACGAGGTAGCCCTTGTAGGGGACACCAAGCTTCATCCCCCAGTTGAAGTTGAGGAAATTGGCAGTCACAGAAATGAGCTTGTGGTGACCAAGTGCAAGTCCGAAGAGAATGATATATGCACCAAAGAATCACTTATGAAAGATTTGGAGTCAGCATTGGCTAGTGTGTCAGATTTGGTAAAAGAAGGATCGGATTCCCAAGAAGATGAAAGTGAAATTTCAAACCAAGAGAATTACTTGATGGGAAAATCAAATTGTGAAGGGCTTCGGAAGGGCAAGTCACTTAGCTTGGACGATGCTACTGAATCTGTTGCTAGTGAGTTCCTGGACCTGCTGGGGATAGAGCATAGTCCATTTGGCTTGAGTTCTGAGAGTGAGCCCGAGTCCCCAAGAGAACGTCTGTTGAGACAATTTGAGAAGGATACCCTAGCCAGTGGGTTTTCCTTATTCAACTTTGATATTGATGGTGAGCAGGCAGAATTTGGTTACGAAGATCCAACTGGGTCTGGGTGGGGGACCATCTCTGAAGACTTCTATAACTCATCAATGGCCCTAGCTTCTGAGAAAATGCCTACAGTAGCAACAGAAGCAATGAGGGACAGAACAAGGGCTTTAATGTTAGAGGAATTGGAGACAGAGGCTTTGATGCGTGAGTCGGGCTTGAATGAGCAGGCTTTTCAGCGTTCTCTGTCTAACAGCTCTGGTGGGTTTGGAAGCCCAATTGATTTACGCACTGAAGATCCTCTCCAGCTGCCTTCCCTTGGAGAAGGCTTAGGTCCATTTGTTCAGACTAAGAACGGAGGATTTTTGCGGTCGATGAATCCTGCACTTTTTAGCAATGCCAAAAATGGGGGAAGCTTGATTATGCAGGTATCTAGTCCAGTCGTTGTACCTGCAGAGATGGGTTCTGGTATAATGGAGATACTGCAGCAATTGACTTCAGTTGGAATTGAAAAGCTCTCAATGCAAGCAAATAAGTTGATGCCTCTAGAAGATATAACTGGAAAGACGATGCAACAAATAGCATGGGAAGCTGCACCACGTTTGGAGGAACCTGAGAGGTTTCCCACTTCTATTTCTTAGCTTTGCTTTGTTGAATTGGAAATTCCATCTGTATATACATATAAACGTCCTTTTATCTCACACTGTTCTAGTTGATGAGTTATATGGTCTTATTATTTGTTGCAGGCAAGATTTCTTGCAGCGTGAATCAGGGGCAGGACAAAAAACATCTGTTGGGCAAAAGACAGTTAAAGAAAAATCATTGGGACCCAGGCCTAGCAAGTTTGAATCAAGTACAATTGGCAATGAGATGGACTCAGAATATGTTTCCTTAGAAGATCTGGCTCCTTTGGCAATTGATAAGATTGAAGCCCTCTCAATGGAAGGTTTGAGAATACAATCTGGCATGTCAGATCAGGATGCCCCTTCAAACATCAGCCCGCAGTCTATTGGTGAATTCTCGGCCCTCGAGGGGAAGAGGGTCAACAGTGATGGGTTTTTGGGCCTTGAGGGAGCTGGTGGATTGCAATTGCTGGACATTGATGGCAACGGTGATGATGTTGATGGTTTAATGGGCCTATCATTAACCCTTGATGAATGGATGAGGCTGGATTCTGGTGATATTGATGACGAAGATCAAATCAGTGATCGAACCTCTAAAGTTCTTGCAGCCCATCATGCTACTTGCACAGACTTGACTCGTGGAAGGTTGAAGGGAGAAAAAAGACATGGCAAAGGTTCTGGTAAAAAGTGTGGTCTGTTGGGGAACAACTTCACCGTCGCATTAATGGTGCAGCTGCGTGATCCTTTACGGAACTGTGAGCCAGTTGGTACACCAATGCTTGCCCTCATTCAAGTGGAGAGAGTTTTTGTCCCACCAAAACCAAAAATATACAGCACAGTCTCAGAAGTAAGGAAGATTAGCGAAGAAGAGGATAAGTCTGAGCCTGCCAACAACGAGGACATAAAGGAGGCACCCAAAGAAGAGAAAATTTTCGAAGAGGAAGACATCCCTCAGTTCAAAATCGCTGAAGTTCATGTTGCTGGTTTGAAGAATGAGCCTGGGAAGAAGAAGCTTTGGGGTTCTACTACTCAACAGCAGTCTGGATCCCGTTGGTTGCTTGCCAATGGAATGGGGAAGAAGAACAAGCATCCACTTATTAAGTCAAAGCCTGTTGCCAAATCCTCTTCCCCAGCAACAACTACAGCCCAGCCTGGAGAAACATTGTGGAGCATCTCTTCTCGTGTTCATGGCACGGGGTCTAAATGGAAGGAATTGGCTGCACTGAATCCACATATTCGGAACCCAAACATTATATTATCAAACGAAACTATCAGGTTACGATAGCCGAACAAGCCTTTTTACTCAGAAGGATGATTTTTAGGAAGCGCTCACTCAGATATCCATCTAATGGCCAACAGTAGGTAAGGAACTTCTTCAGATAATCATGAACATAGCAAGACTTGGTCGATCCACTTTGTGATGAGTTTGAATGGTTGCTTGAAGGATTGATCCCCAGTCCAGATGATATTTATCAGTTCTGCCTCTGGTGGTTTCCCTTATATTTATCTCAAACATGGTCTACCAAATAACATGTTTTGAGTAATAATAAGGTAGATGGCATAGTTTTGCTATTTATACTGTCTTCATTTGTACATGCATGTGGTTTGTAAACATGATTGAGCATGGATGTTCTTGTTTATTGGAAAGAATATTGTGTTGGTGTCTCATGAAGATTAAATGGTGCTGGTTTTTGCTGAAAAAACATTCTAAATTTTTTATCCGCGTGACAATTTTTTTGGAACCAGGTCATGAATTTGGTCACCCGTATCACAATTAAATAGACTCTACAAGAACAAGAGTGTTTTGGTTGAAAGCTTTGCCATGGAGGTATCGGTGGTTGATTGTACATGATGCATCATTGACTATTAATGAGATGTGGCATACTGACCCATGGTACACCTACGATCTTCTTACGTTCAGTGATCAACTTCTTGATTTTTTATTTTTGTTCACCATCCCGGCTGCTCATATAGTTCATAATTTTCGAGCAATTAGAAGCCACTTTCGAACAAAAAATTGATATTACTCTGACCATCTTTCAGCTAACCACCTTGTTTCTATCTTTCCTTTAGAGTTTACCACTATTTATAGCTTGAATTATTTTAAGGGTCTTGCTTCCCAAATTAAAAGTATATACTCTCACCTCATAGGTTCTCATTTTTTTTTTTGTCGACGGCCTTCAAATCCACTTGTCATTCGTTTCTATTTCTCACTTACTTTTTATTGTTCTATTTTTTTTTTTTTGGGTTATTTACAACTTGGTATAAACAAGCCAATAATTTTTTCCACAGGACAAGAGGGGAAAAATTTAGGTGTATGAAGCATGAACATGAGGTTGATAAAAGCCTTTTTCAAAAAAGTTGATAAAGCCATTAAGGCTTAATAAGGGGAAACTCGGTAGTTGGTACAGGTGCCAATATAATTAATTTTTATGATAAAATTATAATTTTAAAAAGAAAAGTTATAACTGTATAAGGAAAGATTATAATCGATCATAAACTCTTGATATCAATCGTAATTTTGTATGATCGATCATGTCTTTTAAAATTGTAACTTATACATTAAAAAAATTATAACTTAACATTTAAAAATTATAATTTTTGGTACGGAACCGTCGACAAAAATTGAATAATGAAATTATTGAATTTGATTGAAAATCGCGTGAAACTAAATATTATACCATTTCTTGTAGCTTGAAGCAAAATAATGAAGAAAATATGGTGAAAATTTTATGGATTTCAATCTCAATTCTCCCATTTGTAGATTTCTTTCAAATGAAATAATAATAGCTTTCCCCACATTTTTTTCATTATATTACACTTAGAGACTCTCAATTTTAAACTTATTGATTTCGATGCATTGTTTTAGTCGGGGAAACGTTTAGAAATGTTTTAAAAATATTTTGACTTTTTTTGAAAATAGAATGAAAAAAATAAAAAATTTAAGAATTATTTTTCTAAAATATTGGTTAAAATCTTAAAACAACTTGAAACATTATAAAATAATTATTCAAATGGATTAAAACATTACAAAACACGTTGAAAATGATTCATTTCGATTCTATAAATGATTCATTTCGATTTTCTTAAAAATAAAAATATTTCAGATATGTGAACGAAATGAAATTTTGATATTTCATTCTATCCTTTAAATTCACTATATAAGTTTCTATTGGGCGGGAAGTTATTGATAGAAAATCAACCATGGGTGTAGTCTACTCCCAAGATGCTAAGCACTGCATCAAAACACTACCCAGCTTCCCCTCATTGATGGCTTCATACACTTTCTCTATCTCCTCCCCTGGACTAACCTTCTTCCCACCACTCAGCAGCTCAGTCCCAACCTCAATCCTCACAAACCTATATATCATATAAGTCCTGCATTTCTTGATTCTGTTCTCCACCAGGAATTCACCATTATCAAATCTCTCTCTTGCTTTAACCATCGCCTCTCCGATTCTCGCCTTCAGTTCCTCCAAAAAAATGGGTATCCGCTTGAAAATCGAGTACCCATTTCCATTCAACTCTGATTCTTTCAGTTCTTTTAGTGCTCTTTCAAGAAGAACTTCTCGGAGTTGAGGCAAAAGGGGATAATCAGGATTCATGGGGTCATCGAGATAGTTGAACACTGGTTGGTGTTCGATGATTTGCAAGAGTTCCTTCTCGCAGAAACGAGAATCAAGGAGTGACCCATCTTCGGCACTATAGAGTGTTTTCCGGATAACTTGTTGTAGAACCTGTTTGGCAGCCTCCCTCATGTGTTCTTCAAGATGGCGCAGATCAATTGCTTGACAAATTGCCACCATGAATGTGGCAGACATGAGCTTTAATATCTCCATAGCTTCGGCGCTCTTTCTTGCGGAGATTAAGCCCAGTGAATTCACATCTTGATTGTGTTGTTCAGCACTTTGGACATGGGTGGTGACTGGGTTGGCTAGGTACTGAAGCTCGGAGCAATATGCAGCCATGGCGATCTCTGCACCTTTGAGACCATAGTCTAAGCTTGGGTTTGGCCCCCCACTAAGATTTGAAGGCAACCCATTGTTGTAATAGTCACAAACGAGCTCTGAAAACTGAGCAAACATGAGCTTCCCTATTGCTGCAATAGCTATTCTTAGATTGTCCATGGAGACACCTATGGGAGTCCCTTGGAAGTTCCCTCCATGAAGAGCAAGATCACGAACAACGTCGATGATCGGATTATCGTTCACTGAATTGATTTCTCTTTCAATTGAATGTGTTGCCATACGAATAACTTCAATATGTGGTCCCAACCATTGAGGAGAAGTTCTTAAAGCATACCGGTCCTGTTTAGGCTTTGTCAGGGGGTCTTTCTCGTGGCGGAGCTTTGCTTCTTTCATGAAATCACTGCCATCAAGAAGGAACTTCATGATTGAAGCTGATTCAATCTGGCCAGGGTGGTGCTTGAGTTCATGAGTCAATGGGTCTGTGAACTCAGGCTTGCCTTTCATGGCTTCACAGAACATAGCAGACAGAATTTCAGATAAGAGAGCTAATATATTGGCGTCGAAACACACTGTGGCAGCCACAGCTGAGCCAACGGCAGTCCCATTCACAAGTGCCAGACCTTCCTTTGCTTGTAGCTCAAAAGGGTCTGACACTCCAGCTCTTTTCAAAGCTTCCATGGCTGTGATCTCTTCACCTTCAAGGGTGATCACCCTTGAATTATGTCGTCCGGTCAATAGTCCGGCAATGTATGATAACGGGACGAGATCGCCCGAAGCAGTGATAGTCCCTCTTAGTGGTAGTTTTGGGATCAAATTTTGATTCATGAGCTTGGCCATGGCTTCAAGTATCTCCCAGCGGATGCCAGAATAACCTTGCATGAGGGTGTTTGCGCGGACGAGCATGGCGGCTTTTGAGTAACATGACGGAAGATTGTCTTTTCCAGTCACCCCAGCATTTAGAAACCGAATGAGTTCCGTCTGGAGGTCAGCAGTCTTGGTAGTTCTCCGGTGAGAGGTGGCACCAAAGCCAGTTGTGACACCATATATGTCCGTCCCACTGGCGATTTTATCAGCAACCCAGTGGGCACTTTCAGTGACACGACCGCGTGCCATAGCTTCGTCGAGGTGAAGTTTTACCTTGTTCCGACGAGCAATGGCGGTGACCTGAGCAACCGTGAGGGTGGTGCCCTGGATGTCAACAGTTTCTGCTTGTGCAAACTGTGACACCATGGATTGAACTTCATGAAAGTGACTGCACTGAAAGCCTTGTGCAGCCTTCATCCAGTGAGTTGGGGTTGAAACATGAGAGTTTTCTGATACAGAAATGGAGGTTTTTTGGTCTTTCAGGTGAGGAAGAGTTGGCGGAACAGTGGCCATTGTTGAAATGGGTGGAAGAATTGCTGGAAAGGGAAAGAGAGTTGGGGGTTTTGAGTGAAGAACAGGTTGCTGCGAGTGGTTTGGATTGGAGAGGGAAGGAGAATATATAGTGGTGAGAAAGTGAAGAAAGGAGGTTAATGGGCTGCGTCAATGGTCTAGTCTTTGTTTGAAAAAGAAAGTGGGAAATGGTGGCTGATTTCTAATAGCTTTGCATGGAAAGATAGTGGAAGTTTTCTGTACATTTCCATGGAAAACACGTGGTGTTTGTTGGGTCAAGGGTGTGTTTTTGCTTGTTACTTTTTTCGGTGTGAACTTAAAATTGGCATTAATAGTGCTAGTTGGAATTAAACTATTGATCCAATTCACTTCTGTCGAGATATTATTAATAGATTCCGTTATTGACTCGGGTCTATGTTAAAATATAAAAATACTTGTTTCAAGTCTTGACGTCACCATAATGTCAAAAGAATTTCATGTGTGTTAGCCAAATTTCTTACCCGCATGAGGCAGGCGTGTTGAAAATTATACATAAATTATTGATGTTATGCTCTCACTGACAGCTTAATATTTTAGGGAAGTGGGTAGTTTAACAATGTTTCCCAAGTAAGATGCTAGAAACTCACCCAAAGACTGACTTCACCTCAATTGCTTTGATTCGTCAACGTTCTATTTGCTTGGAAACTACATGCTTATGTATATTTGGTGGAAACTACATTTTTATGTATATTTGGTGTGGAATTAATGTGTCATCATTACCATTGACACAACTGAGGTGTCACTTGTTATCTCATAATAGGGAAACTTTACGCCATCATGAAAAATAAATTTCGGTATTAGTACTATCATTTATCATTTTTTACCAGGGAGTCATAATTTTAAAAGAAGAATGTATTTTCATGATTGATCATGAAATCCTCATATTGATCTCAACATTTCTTGATTGATTATGTCTTATACCTCAAAAAAAAATTTATTTTATCTTCAAAAATTATAAATTTCGGTAACGATACCACTCCAGTACCCTATCCTTTCCCCTCATAATATTGTCTTCACTTGTCTATGGTTTGGTCCTTAACGCATTACAGTCTGAAATTCATATACTTTGTCTATTTCTAGTTCTGGGCGTTGTGTCGTCCACTAGAAATTCAATGAAAATTTCTCTTTGATTTGTATCTTGAGAACAGGTTTTTTGTATTTAAATACAACAAAACACCAAAAACTTTTCGGTTTGTTTTCTTGAGAAAGTTTTTGAAAATTAGGATATATATATATATAGATCTATGTATATATTTATGTGTGTGGGTTGTGTGGGATGGGTGTGTTTTTTGGGCGATGTGTGTGTACTGCTCGAGTTGTGCGAGTGTTTTTGTTGTGTGCAATGGGTGTATGTTTGTTGCGTGCATGTGTATTTGTTGCATGAGTGTGCAGACGGAGGTTGAGAGAGAGAGAGAGAGCGATGGGACTGTAGGGAGAACGACAAGAGTGATAAGATGAAAATTAGAGTGAGGAGTTTTATAGATCATCATCCAAATAAGTTTTACAATTATATGTTATTTAAAACTATTTTTAAAAACATATAACCAAGTAAGTTTTGCAATGTAAAAATATTAAAACATACTTTGTTAAAACTCTTTTAAGAAATATTTTTGAATACCGTTTTTTGAAATGCAATTCAAACAAAAAATCCCAACCAAGTTTAATTAGTTCTTCAAACTCTAACACACACTCCAAATGCATCAATTCACATGCCAAAACCCCACACACTCCAAATGCATCAATTCACATGCCAAAACCCCACACTCCAAATGCATCAATTCACATGCCAAAATCCCACACACTCCAAATGCATCAATTCAAATGCCAAAACCCCACACTCCACATGCATCAATTCACATGCCAAAACCCCACACACTCCAAATGCATCAATTCACATGCCAAAACCCCACACACTCCAAATGCATCAATTCACATGCCAAAACCCCACACTCCACACCAGAAGGAAGGGCATAAATTTTAGAGACTTGTGAAGACTTTTTTCCATTGACAATGAAAACAAGAATAATTTAACACTAATTCCACAACAAATTTCTAGAATGTCCAATTGGACTCAATTTGGACATCCTAATCCAGGTACAAAGATTTCAGCCCTAATCTCCTACTCATGTCACCCAAACATGGCATAAATCAAAATCAATGCCTACAAGTTATAATTCCTTGCCAACTGACATCAAAAACAAAGTAGTTAACACGAACATAAATTTCAACCAGACACAAAGTTGCCTGCATTAATTGACATATGGCAGAAGTTAAATAAATATTCAGACCTAAGAAGAGAAACACCTTCCTACAAGAGCAAAGAACTATATCTACCCCATTTAGAATCAAATAAAAAGCGTTCAAGAGTAGCAAACTAACAATAAATCTGGATAAACAAGAGCGTAGTACTCCATACACATGATTTGCTGACACTCATGACAGAAAACCTGACTAAACTGGACAGTTAGCTAAGTCTGACCTGAGCCAAACATACGAGGTGAGAACCCACCCACCTCAACGGGTTATCAGGGTCGTGCTCTCTTGTTGGTGCATGACGGGCACTTGTACTGTTTGATGTGCTCAGCCCTGGCAGGAGTGATCTTCACACACTTGCCATGGAACCACTGCTCACATATGTCACAGCAGATCCAGAATTCATCTGAAGCATAGTTCTCCCCACATGCCCCACACAAGGTATCGCCATGCTCTTCATCTTCCTCATCAAATACCTCCTCCCCATCTTTTGGTTGCAACTTTGAATATGTCGCCAGGGATTCAGAACCTCGCTGCATACATTTCCAACATATAATTACAAACTGTTAGAGTGAGGCATGCAGTAGGGGATGAGATATCAAAGATGGGAAGTGACATCACAGGTTGATTTGATCTTTATTGTCCACCAAAAAAAAAAAAAAAAAGAGGAAAAAAGGAGTTGTGCCCCATTAAGTAACATCAACCAAAATCTCCAACATTTCATACTCTAGTAATACATCAATAAACAAGAACAATTACCACAGACAATAAAATTGGGATCACATGTTAGTAGGAATAAATCAATCATGCTCACAGTGAAGTACTGGTCAGATACAACCTCATTAGCACTCTCCAACATGTGTAGGAAACATGAAATGGTCCAATACTAAACCTGCCGAAAAAGGCAGTAACAATTCGATTTATAAAACTATCAGAAACATACACCATTAACAGATTCAACAAGACTAATATTATCCTTGCTGGAGCCAGGCAACTCCCTCCATAATCAATTATTCATTTAGTCAACAATGATATTTATAAGTCTCAGAAAGATGTTTTGTTCTCTCAGACTGTCCAATAATCGAGCATTCTCTTCAAGACTAGGATTGCCTACATAAAGTCCAAATCTATAAAACCTTGACAACCTCATAGAAATCAATAAATGTATATATAGAGATACCTATTTTTAGAAGGTGCGTAGAAGAATAAGAAACTTGAATTTCAACCAGCTCATCAATCCATGGACAATGCTTTTTTAGCAAGCCATCCAGTCATGCAGAGTACATATCAAAACTGCTCAATATCTAAACCAGTGTCCCACTGCAAACTTGACAGTTGAGATGCTTCCAAACAAAAGAGAAGCAAAGCAGGCCGAACCATCTACACTAGCCATATAGTTACTTATGATCTTCAAGACTTACACTGAGTTCCAAAAGCCTCAACAATCTAACTATTACAAGCAAACACATAAATGACATCATATCACCAATTTAATTATTCATAAGGACCAAGAAGAAAGATATCTCCTTTACCCCTTTTGAATTTGACTTGGATTTGTTGCTGCTATGGTTCGAGACAGATGACTTATCCTTTACTTGTTTCTTGGCAGTTCCAGTCACTACCTCAAAAATTGTTGGAAGCTCATTTATCATATTGAAGAGACGTTTCCTGCATCACAAATACCAGCAAGTCTTCATGAAACTGACGATGAAATTCAGCACTAATCTAACAATAAGTTTCAACCGCTTACTACTTACTATACACATTCAAGAATTTCAATTCATAACTTATTAACACATTAGTAGAATTGATCTATGCCTTCTATGCTGAAGTTTCCAATTCATGGAACGGTTCCTCAGGTGGTCCAAGTGTTTCATCAAGTTCACATCAACAACTGCTTACAATACTTGCAGGGGATGGTTCGCCCTACACTCGCTATGATAACAAACCTGTTTCTCATGGTGTATGAATGGGCAATATGCTATTGTTTGGACAATGAAAAGGAACTGTCCTGCCCACAGCTGGAAAATTTTACAGCAAAAAAGAAAAGAATGGCAGCTGGTCTATTTTGTGCTATTCAAATAGCATTTTTGCTCTGATACCCATCATGAGAACCACATAGGTAGATATTTTATTAGGTTGGTCCCACACAGAAATGTCAAAAAAAAAAAAAAAAGGAAAAGAGTGATGGTTGTTTATGAAGTGAATCAAAAATGCATGGTTTAGTGGTGTTTTGAGGTGAACGGGTAGGGGACAGTTGCTATCAGAATTGGATGGGCTTCCCTATTGAAAAGAAGACCTTGACAGATAAATAATTAGCCATTCAATTCAAAGAAAGAGAAATGTATATAATGTATAAATAAAGAGCAAAACATGGCACATTTTCACAAGGATCCTACTTTTCTTAGGAATTTCAAACTTAGATTTCCAAAATGAACTGGAGGAAGTGCAGCCAGAAAGAAAAAACTACCTGTCAGCTTTGTCAAAACCAAATCTAGCACCAAAATAGAATGCCACAGAAAGTAACCATGCGTCACTGTGGACAGCAACAAGAGCCAACCAGTCTTTTTCTTGCATCCCATCTCTTGCAAAGTTAATGCCCAAAGCAGGTTCTGGGAGCTCTGGAGGAACCTCTTCAGCAGGTAAATTGACTTCCCATTGCTCACTAGGGAATCCATAAAGACAAAGATTTTCCTTTTCTGCAGGTTATACAAGATGACAAAGTAACAAGGAAAGAAAAAGACAGTCACTTAAAATTGGCAAATAATTGATGCAGTAGTTTCAATTTTCGGAGAAAAGGGAAGAATAATTATCTAGAAAAAAAATTGCCATGTAAGCGAACATAAATATTTATAGCTACAGATGCATTTGGAATGTGGTCATTTGAATAGTAGTAAAGCACAAAGACTCTCAAACAAATCAATTACATTTTTCACAAATCATCAATGAATTACCATATACCCAATAAACATAACATACCAGTGTTATGCAAGATAAGACCTTAAATACTGTGGGAAACAAGTGCATGTGAACCTATGCAAACCTCAAAAGCACAATTTTATGTCAAAAGCAATAAAACAATTTGTATAGTCACATATTAAGTTATCGACAAAGATCCCGTAAGAATAACATGCATCTGCTTTGTTTCAGACAATGCCAAATTATAACACAAAGCATTTCACCTCAACAATTGAAATAATAAGTGAAAATTAGGTGACAGTGACATTCAAAGACGGAGCAAATGCAATGAGTCAATGTTGCATGGAACAAAGATTGGAAAAAGGATAACAAATAACAGAAGTGAGAATCCCTCTTGCTAGAGTGCGAAACAAACCAAAAAGTATGTGTTGTCTTTAACATGCCATCCCTCTTATAAGGAGAAATGCCCATACTATTGAACTATATGAGATGAACTCAACAAAGAAAAGGGGAGGGGCGCATATTTCTTATTTAAAAAAATAGAGAAAGCTATTAATTAACCTATGGATTTCCACAAAGGCAGCGTCCAATAAGGTATCCGACTTAGCAATCAGTGGATGGTGGGTCCCATTCCCTATGGTCATCCTGCCCTTTCCTTTCACTCTATCTTTGTAGATTGATTTCCGTTTATATAATGGATATGGCGCAAGTCCCAAAGGGGCTGCAAGAAAAGTAAGCAAGCTAGCTTGCTTGCATTTTAGAAACGGTAGCTTCCGTGCCCTTCCTGCCAGCTGAAATTAATATGAATGATCATGACAGCTATTTCAATCCTATTCAGTTTGATTAGATATGTAATTGAAATGAAACAAAGTCCCGTTTGCTAGGAGGGAAACTCCGGAAGATTTTGGGCAGAAATAGATGGTGAAAAGTGAAAACACCTTTCTATTAGTAAAGAGCGCTCCTTGCATGACTCCATATCATTCATTATTAAAGCAAAAGCGACGACGTGTCACCCTGACCCTAAGACACATCTCTATTAATAAAAGTCCTCAAGTGAAAAGCATTCTAAAAAAATAACATTTCTCCTAACTACAGATCAACTCCCAATTTTGTTTCTCTTAAATATCCACAAATACAATTCCCAATTTCCCATGATCTTGATTTTAGAGATATCAAAGACCTCTTTTTAACTTTAGGAAACATAAAAATGGGAAATGGGATCTTTATTTCTTCTATTTTTTTTTATCCACTTCCACGTTTATGCGACACGTAAAGTTTGGACAGAATCCGTCCCTTCAGTGTTGAGTGAGAGATTTCGCAACTAGGTTTTTGTTTGTTTAGGTTTACCTTGTCGCTTAAAAAATAAAAAACATGTAAAAATAACTTATCCAAAAGGTACTAAAGTTTCAGTCACAATGTAAAGAGTAACAATTATGGACAGCCATAAATCAGGATAGATTAAGGTCAAAGGTCAAAGGAGTAAACCAACAAGCAACCCAATATCCATTATTTATCATAGCATAAATTAGAATAATTTAGCCACCCGAAATGGAAAACAACATAATACATCAATGAAGCTTCTTTTCCCTTATATTTTACCAGTCCCAAACACCACATTGTAAACTCAAACTCAAAGCAAAAACTGCACACACTATAACAAGAAATAAACACACAACGAGAACATATCATAATGTACAGCAAGAAACCCTAACGAACCAGGATCGCACTGCTGGTAAAACTCTTCAACATCTGCAAAATAAAATAAAATAAACACCACCAAAAAAAAAAAATCAAAACCCCTAGAACTAGAATTCGAAAGTCAAATTTGTTTTTTTTTTTTTTGTGTGTGTGAATTTAGTGCGTACCAGAGGTGAGGGCTTTGACCATGCCAGCTCGGCGACCCTTGAAATCTCTGAAAACCTCCTCGACAGTGCGAGGGTTGTACTGTGCTCCTCCTCCGTCCATGGCAGTACTGGTACAGTTACAGACTCGGAGCTCCGCAACTAGTTTTTCAAAAAGCTTTAATGTAAAAGCAAAAGAACTTGTTTGCAGGAGCAGAGGAGAGAGAAAGCTTTGAGGCCGTTTGAGAGGGAAAGATAAAAGGGGCAAAAATTACTTGACCTATGGGTATTTATCGAGATCAATTATTCGGGCCGGGCTCAATTTAAATAACATTGGACTCTAGTTTGATTTATGATTTAAATAAATTAAGTTTAAATATTTTTTTTAAACTCATTTAAAAAAAATATTTAAAAGACTTAGTTCGATTATATGAAAAATAATCAAATTATTTAATTTCAATTCAAATTCAGACTCGAATAATTTTTTAAATAAATCAAAATTAAATAATTCTTTAAACTTATTTAAAAAAACAAGTTCTATACATATTCAAGTTCATAAAATTCGGTTGGATTAACACTTTTACACCTACACTTAAACATAATATAAGAAAAAAAATTTAAAATAATTTTTTTAAAAAAAATCCGTGATACTGTACACTTAAACATAATACAAGGAAAATTTTCAAAATAATTTTAAAATCTTTTTTTAAAAAAAATCCAGTGACATCATACGCTTAAACATAATATAAGAAAAAAAATTTAAAATAATTTTAAAAAAAAATTAAAAAAAAAACCGGTGACATTATACACTTAAGCATAATACAAGAAAAAAATTCAAATAATTTTTTTTAAAAAAATGTTGATATCGTATGCTTAAATATAATATAAAGAAAAAATTTAAAATAATTTTTTTTTAAAATTTAAAAAAAAATTTGACAACACAATACACTTAAACATAATATAAAAAAAAATTCAAAATAAATTTTATATAAGTGAACTCTACAAAAGAAAGTATTTGTGTAATTTTTCTTACTTGTACCATTAGTAAATTTATACTAACAAATAATATCACCTGGTAAGTGGTATTCATTAAAGTCATGTACAAGGGATAAAAATTATTATACAAACCGAACCAGTATTGTAACACGAAAAATAATATTGTACACAAAATACCAACCAAACAAGGTAATAAATGGGTAATAACTATTTATATAACTACTAATTTCATGCAGGACCAAACAAAGGTAAAACCTATTTATATATAGTTCAATGAAAATTAATTGGTGAATATGTAATATTTATAAAATTCATAGGTAAAATGGTAAAAAGTGTGTTTCCGTTACGTCGGTTAGTCGATCAACATTGACGAGAGAGTGCAGTGAAATTTCAGAAAAGGTAGGAGTGTTGTTGAAGATATACCTATTTAGAGGGGGTGTAGATAAAATTTTGTCTACATTTTTTGGTATTCATGGGAAATCTGATTAAATACATATTTTCTAATATATATTATATATTTTGCAAGGAAGAAGTGTGCTCAATCAATTGTGTTAAGTTAGGTGCGTTTGTGTTGAGTTTGAGTGAGTTCATATAAAAAAAATATTCTACTTACTCTTGATTCATTTATTAATTCATGTTTAATTAATCGTGTTATATTGAATTCGTGTTTTATATCAATTATGTATAATTAACATTTAAATTAATCGTATCATTTATTTCGTTTGATTGACTTCACTCATACCTGATCATTTATTATATCGTGTTAGGTTCATCCAGTTATAAAACTGACTTAAAAAAACCTCGAACTCCCTAATTTCGTGTTTTGACTAGTGGCAGAGCCATATGAATTTTTTTTTTAAAATATTACTTATGTATAGTTAAAATTACTAGTAATGCACATGTACGTTAAATGTGAAAAAATTTTAATCATAAATTTTTTTGTTAAATTTATTAGAAATCCAAGTATATGAGTAATGAAATTAAATAGGTTATTAAATGGTAAATAATCTTGTATTTTGACATTTTTTAAAGATAAATTAAGAATTCAAAATTTTTGCATGGATGTTAAGATTATATAATAGTACATAAATGTTTCTCGTCAACTATCAGCCACTGGCAAATGAAATTCTATGTAAATTGATAAGATGGATTACAAATAAACTTTAAAATTAAAACATTTATGGGTAATTAAGTTGGTATGATTTCTTTATATTATATCTGTATAATATTTTGATTAGATTGTAATTGTAGTTTTGTTTTAGTATTTCCTTATTGTTTTACTGTAAGTTGTAGAAATATTATGATACTACTAAATTGAAATTTATGCATGAAAAAAATAGTACATATGGTAGAAAATGATTTCTTAAGTTTCATTTTAATTTTCTGTTGGTTGATCGCAAAGCAAAGATTTGTTTCATTGTCCATTTAATAAATTTGATTGTTTCATCTTTTTAAGATGGTGGGTCATGTAGGAATAACAACATAGCTTCTCTTTGAAGTGTTTGTATTTTTTATTCAACTGTAAACAAAAGTTAAACCTAACAAATTTTAATTATTGACCAACCAAATAATGGGGGAAGTAAGCACCAAAAAAATTCATGGCATTTGAAATAAAAAAACAATTAATAGTTGGTACATAAAATATATTACTACTCCAATTTAACCACGGTGAAAGAGAAAAGTCAAGGATAGAGAGACTGACAGAGAGTTATTTTGAAGAACAAATGGATCTTCCATCAATTGTTAGCAAAAGTGAATCTGTTAAGCAAAAATATATATAAAGAGAGATAACTTACATGCAGAGAGATAATCGTATAACTATTACTCCTATGGCACAAACGAATGAAGAACTTGCTAGCTAACCCTTTTGCGTGCCACTTTTACTCTGAAAAACACATGTTTACATATAATGGAAGAATTAAGATAGATTTTACATATTTCTCTATTATTAAAAATTAAAAAAATAAATAAATCCGAGAAATAAATAATGAAAGAGAGTAATCAATATCAATAGATATTCCCACCAACATTGGATTAATAAAATTCCACGCCACATCAAATAATCTATAAATTGCTAATAAAAGTGAACTATTAAGCAAAAAATATAGAAAGAAAGAAAGATAACATGCAGAGAGAGAATCATATGACTATTACTCCAATGACCCACACGGATGAAGAATTTATTGATGCTAAACCTTTTGCTTGCCATTTTTACTCTTTACTTATTGCTGAAAAACACATGTTTGCATATAATGAAAGAATTATGGTGTATTTTACAGATTTTTCTATTATCACAAATTAAAGGAAAGAGAGCAATCAATGTTAATAGATAATTCATCACATTATATATAAAGGTATAAATTCATTACCAAGTAATTCTTTGATCCAACAAAGTGTATATATCCAGAAAAAAATTAGAGGATAATGGAATGGGATAATGAAGCTAAATAGCAATTGTACATGCTACTTTTTAGAAATCACCCACTGTATAAAAAGAGTCAACCAACGATGTGAGACAAATTTTATTAAATCTATGGTTAAGTTTAAATTCAACACACCCCGCCCCATAACAAATTGATGGTAAATATTAACTACTTTAATGAATCTGAATAACCCTGAATGATCGTTTTTGAGAAATAAATAATGTGAGAAATAAAGAGAGTAAAACATTGGTATTCGATAAATGATAAGTTTAATTTAAATAAATGTATTCAAATTTTACAAACAAATAAAAAACAGAACTAATAAGTAATAAGAAAGAAAAAATACCAACATTCCACTATCAAATATTGAAAACAAACCCACGTTCTACCCTCACACAAATTAGGAATTTTAAGATTATATTCCCACCAACATTGGATTAATAAAATTCCATGCCACATCAAATAAATCTATAAAGTACTAGCAAAAATGTAAAAAGAGAGATAACATGCAGAGAGAGAATCGATGACTATTACTCCAATGACACAAATGGATGAAGAACATGCTAATACTAAACCTTTTGCTTGCCACTTCTACTCTTTACCTATTGCTACTCAAGAATATATCAATGATTAAATTTAACGATAATTATAATAAAAATTAATTAAAAATATATAATTTATTATTTAATTTAAGTACACATATAATTTAAATTTTTTATGAAAAAATTATTATCACTCACCTGTGGCATAAGAACAATTTTGATCAGCTGCCTACTGTCACTGGCATGTATAAATCAAATCACCTGAACGGTCACATGGATTCAAATTCAAACACAATGCCTACAAAATTACACAAACAACAATTACCTTAATACCTAGTGGGTTAGCAATTCCTCTCAAGAATTCAACATGAGTGCCATCCAATTGCGGATGAAGAAACCTACTGTTATAACAAATGTTTTGGTTCAAATAAAATTTAATATATATTATTATAAAGTTGTTAAATGCTTAATATTCTCATAAAAATCTTTGATATGTGGGACTCATTTTTAAAGTTATAAATATAATGAAAATTAGGTTAAATAACTTAATGAGTGATCAATAACACTAATATATAAAGGCTATAATATATTTTATGCAATTAGTCTCATTTTTTTGTTTTTTTATCTGTATGCACTATATTTGTCGACGTTTGATAATTTTTGTATTTTATGAATCTTTAAGTATCAAATACAATGTCATAAATTTAAATATATTATTTTATATTTATTAATTGGGAGAAAATAATTTAAAATTTATGAATGAAATCAAACAATAACATGTTAAAAACTAGTTGGAAATTGAAATATAAATGAAAAAGTTAAAAAACAGTACATTGGTAAATAATTGTTGACGCTACCATTCTTTTTTCGCAAGCTTATTACGAGCTTTTTTTTGTACCAAATGGGCTAACGTAGCTTTATCAATCATCGGTTTCGACTATATAGACTTGTTCATGGAATTACAATCAAAATACAACGAGCTCCATCCAGTCTTACAATAACGTCGCTACAATTACATTAAATTTAAACCAATCCACCTAATTAATCATGTAAGATAATCTGACACTACCTCAACCTGCTTACAAATGGTGTCACTTGTTAGTTGTCAAAATTGAAAGTATTTTCCCAATCAATCAAACCAACGTATTTCCATTGAGATAAAACCAAGCAGCAATACATCTGATATCATAGTCCACCCACTAATCAAAGCCTTCTCAAGCTTCATAAATATTAAAAAGAAACATAATAGCTCACGAGGTCGTAAAGCATTTGCTAAACAATAGTCAAAATTTGCATCCGAGATTTGCATTGCAACCATGAGTAAGTAGAAAAGATGCTTGGTGAAAAACTAAAATTGTCCAATCAAACTGAAAATAGTCCACCCGCTAATTAATTAAAAACACAAATACTAAAAATGGATTGGGCATCCGATATCATGTTCAGTCCATATCGAGAAACAAAAACTTCGGTCCATCGATTCAATTGAAGTGTATATTTTCAATTTTTATAACACATCGTTTCATACAAAGTGAATCAGTTAGACTTGATCAAAATAGTGAGCATGTGTTGGGGTCATATAGTATACCAAAGAGCATCCACATTTTACCATATCTTCCAAAAAAAATGTATCTGGAAGCACACAGCATCCCTTCACCGGCGATCACAAGGAGCTTTCAGGCACTGCAATGTTAAAGAAAGGCACAAGAAGTTTTGAGATTAAAGTGGGTCGAATTGATACACTTGAGGAGCCTGAATCTCATCCAGTCACCTTGCCTCTGGATCTGAAAACAGCGCGAAATAACATCAAATAACACATTTTGACAAGTTGTTAGCAGAAAGTGTGACTACTTGACACAGTCGTGAAGACTAGGAAAGTTTAATTATGAAAGCAGGCGAAGTTCAACGGTTCTGCAATTCATAAACGTAGAAAAATAACAACAGTAAATACAAAACGGATGGCAACAGAAAAGGCTGACAATTTAGACAAGCAACTAAGAAAGTTGTGGATGAATTTGCAATCAAACAAATATTGGCAAAGCCTTCTTGGGGTGAATATCCTTTAAGATACACACGACATTTGACCAATATTATCAGAATCGGACCAAACATCGAACCGGCAGAGGTACCGGATCAATGGTTCAATCGTTGAGTTAACTAGTCAACTATTTAACTTCTATTCAATTATTCATATTGACCGTGGGTGTGGGTGTGGGTGTGGGTGTACACAGAGAGAGAGAGAGAGAGAGACGAGAAAGAAGACCCAGCAAGAAGTCCCACAAAGCTACATTTTTTCCTTCACTTTTTGTGGGTATCACTGTGTCTATGTGGAGAGAGAGAGAGAGAGAGAGAGAGAGAGAGAGAGAGAGCAGGGGAAGGCTTATACACAACTTAGGAGGAGATCTAGATCTCTGGCGTTCAAAATCTAGATCTCTGGTGTACGTGGCTGTTCGAGATGGAGAAGACGAAGTGGAAGGAGGCGGAAGACAAAATGGAAGAAGACGGAAGACGAAGAAGACGAAGGGGAAGGGTTGCCGCTGGTTTCGAGCTTTGAACTGGCCGGTTTTAGGAATTTTCGGTTCGCCGGTTTTGGGTTTTCCAGTTATCCAACGGTTTGATTCCTTAAACGGTCTAACTAAAGAACCGGACAGTTTCAGGTCCCGGTGAAATGGTTCAACCGGTCTGACCAGTCGGTCTGATTCGGTTTTGATAACAATGCATTTGACTCTTGAGGTATAACTAAAGAGTAGACATTATGTTCTGAGATGATGAAAATACCGGGCCACAGAAAGGGTCCTCAGAGGCCCAAAAACATAGCTTTTGTTGCTATTGGCAAAGAATTCATGAAAAACATTAAATTATAGGCCGGAATACTTACCCAAGGAACTGCATTTAGTGAGGAGCATTGTTTTGAGGAATGGAAAGCATCACTGACAAACCATAACTACAAATTACAAGGCTAGGGGTCCTTTAATTCACTGTTTTAATATGTTTGGCTAGAAGTTTGGAGGATACAGTCTGGCAATAAAACGACTTTTAAAGATCTGGCATCCAAAACTTGCCATTGCCCTTGCGAGAAGATTCATTATCCCTTTCCCGTGGAACACTGCCTGCAGGAAGATTTGATGCCCAGAACTCAACAATATCCTTTGGGAAAGTTTTAATCTTTGTGAATCTCTTAGTTTTAAAGGGAGGGTCGGAGGATGTGGGATTGCTATAGTAGGACCTTTGAAGACTAGATATCTGAAACTTACCGTTACCTGTGCCAGAAGATTCATCATCCTTCTTCTCAGGAGCATTTTGCTCCAGAAACAGCTGAATTGTTCTCCAATAGCGGTCACCACCTGCCAGCCATGTGTCCATATGCATGCCAGTAAGAAATTCCACAAAGGTGCATTGCCTGTTATGTGCAGCTGCTTTAGCATATAGCATTTCCATGTGAGATGGAGGGACCATTTCATCTTGTAATCCAGAGAGGAAAAGGATTGGCTGTTTGATCTGTGATTAAAAGGGTCAAAACATGAGGTTATGCAATAAACCTGTAAGCAGAAAAGAATGGGGAGCATAAGGATCCAAAAAACTACCATTAAACCCAACCATGTTCCTTTTGAAAACATCATAAGCAAGATGTAGTTAAACAGGAATATTATCAAAGGGTAAGCCGCATGGGTATCAGGTTGCTATGAAATACACAACTCCGGGTGCTAGGGTTAGATCAGGAAAATAAACTCTTCGGAACAAAGAACAAGATGGATAGTTAACAAAACAATTTTTTTCATTTTTAAGCCAACTTCACAAATATAATTTCAAAAGAACACTAAAGCACCATACAGATGCATTTCACACTAAAATAAGAGCTGCTGAATAGTAAGTTTAGTAGAGATTGTTAATTAACTTCCAAACTTTGTAGAAATGCAAACATGGCACATGCCAGATCATAGCTATAATCTTATTGTAAAGGAGAAATGAAAAAAATTCTTGTTTTCGGTACAAGAATATGACGGGCATGTCACCCAGAGCACACAACATTATAGAAGAAGTGTCCACAGATGCACAGCATAATGTTCTACCAACTTGTAGCCTCACCTGGTCAATGATATCAATGGTATTCCATGGAGAACGAACTAGAAAATTGAGAACCCCAGGGCCTTTTGAACAACTTTTTCCAATAAACCACTTCAGAAAGGGTAGTAAAACTCCAGCCATGTCTAGAATCGATGTGAAAGTGTTCTCCAATATGAGTGCCGTGACCTGCAATAGCAAAGAAAACAGGAATGACATCTGTAAAAATTTGGGCACAAGTAGTTTAAGATAGAGAAACCCAATAGAGGATTGGATTGATTGAAATATTATTGAAGATGCAGGACTTGGAACAGAGTTTGTGGAAGGATAATGAAAAAATCCAGGTATATGAGCTAATGCTGTGAAAATACTCGAGCAATAAGTAAAAGCTACATAACAATGATGCCACCCAACACACATCATGAAGTGATTACAAAGAAAAATTTAAAATCATCAAGTGCTCAGATTGATCAATTCACTATTGTGATCATACTTGGAACAAAAACTAGGAGAAACTTTAGAATATGGCGAGAATTATCGGAATCCAATTGCCACATTAACCTCTGTATTTAAGACAAGAGAAAATGATAAAAAGAGCACTTGAGCATATCACTCTAGTACGAGTGTTGTATCCATATCTAATCAACCCATTAGATCATGATCACAGCCACTAACTCATAGTTGATCCGGAAAAGAATTCTCAGAAGTAGAAGGCTAGCAGTAGAATCAAGAACAGGGGGCCTATTTTATCCTACATTGACCTAGAGTTTCACAAACTGGAGTCCTGCTTCTGCAAAGGAAATCTAGCGTTCTCCTTTACAGCCTTAGCCAAGCATATAACCCAATGTCAATTGAGGTGTCCCTTATAGGTAGGGGCAAAATATGCAAATCAGAAGTGATGTTGTGAAGCAATAACTATAATTCTCAGAAAACATTCCCAGCAGCCCCAAGCTTTTTGGATGTCAAAAAAAGAGACAGAAGAAGTGAAGAGAAAGAGAGAGGACTATCTGACGCAACAGCCCTCAACTTTGGATTTTTTGGAATATTAGGAGCAAAAAAACCAGAATTTGTTTTGCTGGATGGACCAGGATTTAGGGAAGGGTATAGAGGGGAAGTAGAAGTGGGGACTGTAAAAATAAATAGTGAAATTGTCCGCCAATGAATTGTAAGCACAAATAAATATTTTAAAAATCAAGGAAACTGCAAAGGCTCTACCGTGTCAGGGTTGTTTTGTGTAAGCACAGCTCCAACCGCACCACCAAGAGACCTCCCAAATACTACTATTCTAGATGTGTCAATGTCTTTCCTCTGAATGAGGTGATCCAATGCAGCCTAACCAAAGGAAGAAAGCAACCAATTACGATTTAATAGCACATATCCAGGGGAGGACGAGATCTATACAAATTGACAAATTGCAGAACAAAAAACCTGAGCATCCCTTATGATTCCATGTTGAGAAGGGTAGCCATCACTAGCACCATAACTGTTCATTGTAAAGAAACATTAGTCTGAATTTAGATAGACAAGCAGGACACATATTACATATAACAGTATGCCACACGGTTCTTCTTAATTATTACAAAGCTGTCAAGAGAAAACCTTCAAGAATACCACAACCACATACCCTCGGTAGGAAAGCATAAATACATTGCATTGCAACCTTTGCAACATTATACGCACCATTTCAAGGCGGTGGGCAATATCTGCAGTTAACTGTAAAGGCATTTAACATAAATTCGATCTGATCAATACTTCAACAGGTACAAAAACACGAAAATCAATCCAGAAATTTTACAATGGAAATGCAATCTAAGGCATGTATATGTGTTTCAAACAATGGCAATTGAAAAAGGATACTTCCAGCATTTTCTTGGAAAAAGAGTATGGTTGGACCTGCAAAACGCACAACATTAGTTTACAAGTTCAAAAAAGTATAATAAAACCCAGCTATCTAAAAGAGGTAAAGCATAGGAGCAAAAACTGAAGCAACATATTTGAATGAATAATAAGTTAACAAACCAGTCATCGTCAAGATACTAGCACAATAACATGGATGATATAAGTATCTCAGATCATGTATTGAACACTACGACACTACACGATTTGCAGAAGTCATTAAGTCCTACATGGGACAAAGCTACAACGTATTCAAATTAAAACGGATTAGAAAGTGATATTGCCATAACTAGTGTTGCCAGGGTAAATTGATAATCAATTATGCCTTCTTATATCAAATTTAAGGGTTCCCAATATGACTGCACTAGAATGAGCACAACAATGAGATTAAACAATATTATCACTCCTTTCAACTGTAAATATATTTAGACACAAAGCACAAATAAAATTAGAAGCAAATAATCAAGTCAATCCAAGCTCTATTTATCCAAATTTTTAAGAAAATACATAGAATTCAGTGTCTCAAAAATTGAAACAGTACCAAGAGTTCATTTTAATTAGACAAAAAAATCAAGTCAATCCAAGCTCTATTTGTCCGAAGTTTTGCGCAACACGTAGATTTCAGAGTCCCAAAAACTTACAACAATTTCACCTAATTTACATATGCTACTCATTGATTCCATAAGAGAGCTCGGATCGATTTAACACAAATATATGAACAGTAAGCCCTAAATCAACAACCTCAAATTCAAAACCAATCAAGCTAAAACCAAAACCCAAACTTCACCAAATAACACATCTTCCACCTCAATTCACACAAAATCTCACATAAACAACACATACCCGATCAACACACAATAAACATAAGTACTGAAATATTTACAGAGAGATAGAGAGGGGGGGGGGATGAACCTTGGCAGTCAGGAAATAGTTTGATGAACCAGGCATGGAGGCGAACACCATCGGAGGATCTGAGCCAGACGTCCTCGTAGATGAGGCGAAGACGAGCGGGGGTCATGGGATAGGACTTGGTGAGACCAGGCAAGACCGGCACGTAGACTAGCTTTTCCTGGAACGCCACCAGCAATGCCATTCCGGCTACCACTATGCCTCCCACTCCATACAACACCAAGTTCATGTATGACACCATTCTCTCTCTCTCTCCCCTCACTTTTGGAAAGTGTATGGCGACTGAAAATCAAATTGAGTTGAGAGTTTCATCTTTCAATCGCTGCTTTGGAAATTACGCATGGGGCTGGGGTTAAAGAGGCAAGCGACGTCGTTTCGTAAATTTAGCCACTTATCTTTATATACGGTATCTAGTTTTGTTCCTTTATTTGACAATTCTAATTTGACTTTTATTATTTTAAAACTTTCATTTCTTATGTAACTCTCTCTCTTTTGCACAGTCACTCAACATTGTTAGTCTTAATATTCCTAGTTGAACTTTCATTATATTTTTATCTCTCTATCTCTTAGATTTTTTGTCTTAATAATCTTAATTGGACTTCTTTATTCAAAACATTTGTATGATTTTATAATTGATAAAATATTTAATTATTAAAAAAAAAATTCTCAAGTTGTAGACATTCAAAGTTAAGTTATTCACCAATAAAAAAATAACAAAAATTCAAAATAATCTAATTACCAATAAAAAAATAACAATGACAAATAAAAAATAAGTGAAAAAATTGCACTAAAAAAATATTCAAAACTAACTATAATTTTATTTTTTTTGGTTTCACTTTCCTCTTGCTAATGTTCATATTTTTTTTTAATACTTGAATAATACAAAATAGACACCGAAATGACAAAATGTTGGTTAAATTAATTTTTTTTTTTGAAGTGGTAAAATTTTAATTTTTGTTGATTTGGTTTAATTGCAATATTTTTGTAGTATTCAAGAAGTCACATCGACAGAGAATTTAAATCAATTGTCTTTGCAACTATAAGCAGATCTCTTCTGAGCAGTGTTAGTTTAGTTTGGAATTTTTTTTCTATTTTTTGAAAATTTGATTTGTAGTTTTATATGGTTTGATTCGTTTGATTGGATTTAGTGATTTAATTGTATTCTTAATGTTATTTCTTATTAAAACTAGCAGCTTATTCCTTAAATTTTATCTAAGGTTGAAAAAATGAACACTCATTTGGTGGAGAGAAGAGCCGCCATGAAAAAATGTATAGCATAATAATTTTGGTAATAGTGTTAGTTTAAGTTCATGGAATTCTTGAATTGTATTAATGT